CACTGTCATGAGAATTGTGGTGCAGAAATACCGTATTTCCTCGAATAGACCCCGCGGCTACTATTAATTTCAGGAAAGATAAAATGAGGCTATTATTCGAGGGCAGGTACTATTTGAGGGCGGGTACTAATAATTTCAACTGAGGCTAATAATTTATCAGTTAATCTGTGAGGCCTTAATGTTCTGTCAGTAGAAGTCTTTCTTTACTACCTAGAGATGTTTAGAGAGCAGCTCTAGCTACTAGAAGCTTTTTAACTCACGAGAGAATGCCCAGCAATAGCGGTAGTACTCTGGCAGTAAGTGAGATTCATCTTCTTGGCTGTTTACAGTGCTTTCGACAACTAGATCAACCAACCAAGGGATCAACTATTTGCTCAAGTTTATTTAATTAAGTTCAGCGCATAGATACTGGCATCATTATGCTGGCATGTTCAGCGCTATTAATAATGCCACACCCAAAATTTATTAAAATTAAACTATGCGGGTACAATTAGAGGGCGGCTACTATTTCACTCAAAAGTTGACAGGTGCGGGGACTATTCGAGGGCGGGTAATAATCGACGTGCGGGGTCTATTCGAGGAAATACGGTACATGTACATATACATCCACAACATATTATGAGGTTTTAGATTAAAAAATTTAGCATCAAAATGCACTCAGACCATTTTTATCTTTTTACTGCTAGTTAATATTTAGTTAATTATGTACTGCTTTCATTTAGTAATTCAGTAAGCCTCACCTTGGAGATTTTCTAAGTTGATATCCATCATCTTGTTTTGTCTCTTCTTTCTCAGTGACTGGCTCTACATTCTCTACCTTGTCAGGTTCTGTTTCCTTTACATTGTATATATATTATATATTAATTATGAAAACCCAATGGAATGACTTGATATATTTCTTACTTCTTTTGCATCATCCACTTTCTCCTACAAAAGAAAACAAAACTATCATTATATTCACATTTAGTATTATAAAAAATCAAAATAATATTAGTGCATGTACATGTACTAGCATCCTTAGAATTTTTGACATTATTCTCTGCAAAAATTTTATTTTAAGTTGTCTAATTAAGCAGTTGTATGGCATAATAATAAAATTTTCATTATGCTATTATACACGTACCTTCTCCTCTTCTTCAGAAGAGGCTACAAAAGTATCATCACTCTTTTCCTTTGATTCGTCTTCCTTAGGAGGTGGATCGTCTGGTGAAGGGGCATCAGTTTTCTTTCTCCTGGCAGCTTCATCAGTTGGTTTAGGCTAAATGAAGACAGCAAGTCATGAGCTACAGTATAGCGGGTAATTTTCGTGGCACTTTATTTTTGTGGTTTTGGGGCTTCCCACGAAATTTAAACCCACAAAATCATTGAAGTGCCATCCCTTATAGGCTATGTAAACTGTCAACCATAAAAATTAAACCACAAATTGCCCCAGTAGGAGCAAATCATGAAAATTTAGACCCACAAAAATAACCCACTATACGGTAGTTATCATGCACTGTATAATGAGAGAGAATACACATTCTTATGTTGATATAAATTTTGAGTTGACTTCAGTCGAAATTGGATTTTTATGAATTTTTAAAGTCGATTCAAAATCTGGCTATAGACCTTGAACTACAGTACATGGTATTTCATTAGTTCTTAGTCTTTTAGCCCTTAGTTTTTGCATAAGTAAAATAAAGAATAGATAATAGAGTACTACCAAGAGTGGATAATTATTTAGGGAGAGTGTCTAACCCGCCTATAATCTGTGATACCACAGTGCGTAAGTTTACATAGCATGGTTATTAGCACCAAGTAGCCATTCTTGCGTCCTTATACTGATTCCAAGTCAGAAGGCTGCAAATAAGAAAGAGCCAACCATTAGAAGAACATATTCCCATCTGCTCCTGCTTGTTTCTCGCACTACATGATCCTCAGAGTGGAGATATAAGTCTTAAAGTTGCCTGCATGCTTCAAGCGCCATTTTATCAGCCACATCCATAAATTTGAAGATTACTGAGATTAACTCTGTATACTTGCAAAAAACGGATGTAAACATACACGCTGTGGTATCACAGAATATAGGCAGGTTAGACACTCTCCCTAAATAATCTTGGTACTACTAATATCTATGGTTTTTGCTACATTGCAAATGCCTTTTTAAGGCCATTTCACACTGGCACAGTGCTTTGTTGATACAGCTGAAATAAATACTGTGCAGCTAAAATCAATATTCGGACGGCATCACTTCACATTAATCCACCCCTCTGGAAGTAAAGTGAGAGGTGATGGACATTAATTTTAAACCAATCTAGTCTGAACACACGATTAATGCCTCTAATTCTCATACCTTAGAACGGACACAGCAGGCAGCACAGACGACAAAAGGTAGCACCAAGACAACAGCGTATAGTGCCCAGAGGTACGGCCTCTCATTAGCAATCTCAATAACATACTCCATCCAGGGACCCTAAGGGAAAGGAAACGGCTATCATGAGAATGAGTAATGGGCCTATGACTTACTAGATAGTCAGAACCAGTTGCAACACGTTCTCTCTCGGACTTCTTAACCCAACTATACAATAATAATAATAATAATGATAATAATGATAATCAAATCAGCATTAGTAATTGTGAATCAAGTCATCCAACACACATTAAAGGCTGAATCACACTATGATACAATATGACCAAAAAGTGCCTGTATATATCTACACAGTACATGTAAATGTACATGTATATACTGTACATACATGTACATGTAGTATGTGACTATGCATAACACAAAATTTGTGAAATCAAGATTCAACTATTGTTACATTTACAGGCACTTTCAGTTCTAATCTATTACAGTGTACATGTAATTTTAGCTTATAACCATCACTACACAATTGACAGTATGCCACATTAATTTATACTCTCTCACCTCTCGGCTGAAAATGCAGACACGGATACCAGTTCCCTAGCAACGATGACGTTATCAAAATGGATGTCTTTGTTCATGGACCAGAGTTCAAATCCTACTGCTTCCACTGGAGTGAATTGGGAGAATATGCTGCCTGATAATTCAAAATGTGACGGATTCGGTATGCGCTTTGGCTTCCACACACCCTACATGGACAATAAAGGTATCAAGCTAAACATGTACATGTAGATATACTTAAGCCTACTTTTTATCATGTGAACTAATTGACATGTAAAATTAAATACCGCATAGCACTTTAGACTTTGGCAATTTTGCTGTAAAACTGATGTTGGCTGTTTTTAATTTTGTGATTTTTGTGTACACGTGCATTACTGAGCATGCGCATTAATGATTGGTGGTTTTAATATTTGCGATTCCGCTTACAAGCCGCCATATTGCCAAAATGAAACTCCACCAAATTATAGCAATGTACATGCATGGTAAATTATTATTTTTAACGTTATGGGTAGCAAAAGATTTCTCACATACCATGTAGTTAGGGTTACTGATCATTGGTGGCTGCCATTTTCCCTTGTAGGCCGGGTTTGCAATCATGGGCGGAGTCCATGTGCCACATCCAATTTCCTCACAAGCAGGATTAGCTTTAAAAATTGAGAATAAATTTAGAAAAAATAGAGCATTTGATACATTTAACAGTACACTTAATAAATACATGTACATGTACAGTACATGTATTTATAATACATATCAATGTACCGATTGTAGGAGCTTCCCAAACACCATCTTCCTCTTCATCCCTAAAAACAACAAAAAAAAAATTTCTCATAAAAATGAACACACACACACACACTTATGCACTCTGCAAAATATTGAATATTATTAATTTTTAATTATAATCTGCAAAAAGTTTGACTCCGCCCTCTCTCTCTCTCTCTCTCTCTCTCTCCCCCCCTCCCTTTCTCTCTCCCTCCCTCTATCTAACCAGTCTTCAGGTTGGCTGGCGTCAGGGTCGGGGATTGTTTCAGGACCATCGTCAAGCCATCCTTCAGGTTTAACTGCATTTGGGTCTGAAATCTTTTGAGGAGCATCCTCATCCCAGTCATCAGGTTTGACTGCCTCCGGATCAGGTATTCTGAGAGAAAGGGAGGGAGAAAGGAATAAACTAAGTAATTAATGAATAAACACAGAAAATTATGCTGCTATAATTTTTAGTTTTTTTCCTATAGAATCATGTACTGTAAGATACACATGTACATGTAGTGGCAACAATAATAATAAGGTAACTTTGCTTGCAATTTGCAAGCAAAAATAGCTACTTGCAACAACTGAAGATCCCATTAAATTTGTAGTTATTTTAATGTCAGTGCATGCAAGTGCCTGAAGATGCCATTACTTTTCCTTGTCATCCCAGTCAGCAGGTTTCTTATCAGTAGGATCATCAATCTCAACTGGCGGAACAAAACTAGGACTAAAGGAAAAGAATAAGAATAAGATCTACTACATGTGCATTGGATACACGTTAAAAGTATGCATGTTGTGTAAAAATTAAGTTGATGCAAATTCTAATCAAAATTGGACTTTTTACGAATTTTAAAATTTGCTCAGAAATCAGGCCAAAGACCATGTACTATAGTACAGGGTCTTTGGCCAAATTTCGTCAAAAATGGAAAGGAGAGAATTGTCCACTTTTATAATTTTTTCTGATGCATATACATGTACATATGTTGTGTAGAAAGTTTGATCAAAATTAGATTTTTTATGAATTTTAAAAGTTTCTCAAAAATTTGGCCAAAGTCCCTGTACTATAGTACAGGGTCTTTGGCCAAATTACGCCAAAAATGAAAACGTGAGAATTCACCATTTTTATTACATTTCCTGATACATATACATGTACATGTACTTATGTTGCGTAGAAAGTTTGAGCCAATTCCAATCAAAATTGGATTTTTTTATGAATTTTAAAAGTTTCTCAAAAATTTGGCCAAAGTCCCTGTACTATAGTACAGGGTCTTTGGCCAAATTACGCCAAAAATGAAAACGTGAGAATTCACCATTTTTATTACATTTCCTGATACATATACATGTACTTATGTTGCGTAGAAAGTTTGAGCCAATTCCAATCAAAATTGATTTTTTATGAATTTTTAAAGTTTCTCAAAAATTGGGCCAAAGTCACTGTACTATAGTACAGGGTCTTTGGCCAAATTACGCCAAAAATGAAAAGGTAAGAATTCACCATTTTATTACATTTCCTGATACATATACATGTACTTATGTTGCGTAGAAAGTTTGAGCCAATTCCAATCAAAATTGGATTTTTTTTATGAATTTTAAAAGTTTCTCGAAAATTGGGCCAAAGTCCCTGTACTATAGTACAGGGTCTTTGGCCAAATTACACCAAAAATGAAAATGTGAGAATTCACCATTTTTATTACATTTCCTGATACATATACATGTACATATGTTGTGTAGAAAGTTTGAGCCAATTCCGATTAAAATTGGATTTTTTATGAATTTTAAAAGTTTCTCAAGAATTGGGCCAAAGTCCCTGTACTATATTATAGTACAGGGTCTTTGGCCAAATTACGCCAAAAATGAAAAGGTGAGAATTCACCATTTTTATTACATTTCCTGATGCATATACATGTACTTATGTTGCGTAGAAAGTTATAGCCATTTCCAATCAAAATTAGATTTTTTATGAATTTTTGAAGTTTCTCAAAAATTGGGCCAAAGTCCCTGTACTATAGTACAGGGTCTTTGGCCAAATTACGCCAAAAATGAAAAGGTAAGAATTCACCATTTTATTACATTTCCTGATACATATACATGTACTTATGTTGTGTAGAAAGTTTGAGCCAATTCCAATCAAAATTGGACATGGTCTCATGCCAAATTTTGACAAAAATGAAAAGAGAATTGTCCACTTTTATAATTTTTTTCTGATGCATATACATGTACTTATGCTGTGTAGAAAGTTTGAGCTATTTCCGATCAAAATTAGATTTTTTAATAATTTTAAAAAGTTGCTCCAAAATCGAGCCAAAGTCCCAGTACTACAGTACAGGAAACTTTATAAAAACATTGGCTAGCATAAACTTGTCAATTTTACTACAGTTTCTTAAGCCACAACAATACAGCTAAGTCATAATAAGAAACACTAGTACATGTACATGTATAAATCTCACGTGAAATCAGTCGCAAGAGCACCAGTAAGTACAACATCTTGATCAATAGCAATAGAAAATCTGTCATCAGAAGTAATAACTACATGTATAGTGATAATAAGAATCATGTGATAGCCACGTGACATGATCACCTAGTGTGAACAAATGAGTTATCTTGTCAGTGAAGATGTGATCAAAAGAAGTGGTGGTTTGCTTGCAGTGTTTTTCCTTAATAGACAATTATTGTTATTATAAAAAAGGTTGTTATTATTTCACTGCCAAGGCTAACCTCTATTTCACCAGTTTTTGGATTTTTAAATCGAACAATAAAATGAAGCTAAAGGAAAAATATTTTAAAAGTAATAATCAAAGTACAGTATATTATACTTACTTTAGAGGATTGGCCACACCTATCAGGACCAAACATAATAGAGTATGGGGTCTTGTCATGAAACTAGAGAAATGGAAATAAGAAATAAATAATTAAAGAGAGAAAGGGGAGAGAGACAGAGAGAGACAGAGAGACAGAGACAGAGACAGAGAGAGACAGAGAGAGACAGAGACAGACAAACAGACAGACAAAGAGACAGGTACAATGTGCATGTACAAAAGAGCCAAAAACAAGAAAAGAAGAGACAAATACAGTGGAAAGGTCACACATACATCACACTATGATGTATACTAACAATACACAATGATGATAATCCACTACCTGACTCAATTCTTTAGATGTCGACAAAAGCTTAACATAACCACCCCCACACGTTAGAGTATCTTGAAAATTAACTTCATATCTACACAAAAGAAAAACATGAAAACACAATGTACTCAGTTTCATAACAAGTGAATGGGCATTAATTGGAACCCATACATGTACATATACGTAGTAAATATACTATCTTACTGTACTACAAATGATTCTTTGCTATCCTCAAAGACAAAAGGACGATCCAATGCCGCAGCTATTGCGTAATGCTTGGCCGCCTCCTACTCAAATCACATGACTAACCACGCCCACTAAAAATCCTTACCTTCATGACAAGACCTATCTCTTCCTCAAAGGCTCCAGTGTGTGTTGGCCTCTCGTACGACCATACACCTACATGTACATGAACATAATAGCTATTGTACAATGGATAATGGCAGGATCTTACCATCATACTTAGCTATATCTGAATCAGCTCCATCTTTAGTTGCTTTCGACTGTACCCACCTGATGGAAGAACGGGCATAAATTAAAATAAAGGTATTAAACGTAAAATATTCATAAAGACTGATGTGATAACAAAAGCCTTCAAAATAAGCTCATTTTCACTTGAGATTCAAATCTATTGAGTGTAAGGTACCTTTTTTGAGCTGCATCTTTGTCATTAAAAGTTTCCCAAAAGTAAATATCACCAGGAGGTTTGTTAGGAACAACATAAGTGGCCCTTGGGACCTACCAGCACAAAGGAAAAAAAAAAGGTCAAACTAAAGTCGTGAACAACTTACATCCTCTCTGACAGAGGCAGCAAGGGCTGCTAATAGTAAAACTAAAAATATGTCCACTTGCATAGTACCTGTGTGTCTAGAGTAAGTGACAGTAAAAATGACCTTTAAAATAAGAACTTACCACCAAAAATGGGATGAGGGGAGAAGAAATTGTCACGTGTAGGACAATATTAATTAGCCACGCCTGTAACATGCTAGCCAATCAGATTGTCCGGGTCGCGTGCAGTGATTTAGAGAGGCTATGGAGTCACTTATGGAATATGCTTTGGCGGCTTATTCTCACCCGGAGGACCAGTTCCACATATTTGACAAAGAGGCGATAGAAAGGAAAGACAAAGAATACGAGAGATGGGTGAGACAAGCCTTGCAATGTTTTTTCATGTATTTAATAAAATTAATGTTTTATGGGAGGGGAAATGATAGTCGTGGGATATTTAGCCGAATTCAATGCCATTTCCATTTCCTAGTGCCATTTTAATTGTATCGTTTTTGCTTGCAATTGACCAATCATTCTGAAATAAAGTACATATAACAATATGAATTGCTGAATAGCCTGACTGCAATCCTTCAGGGTAGTTGCCATCTTGAGTGACCTAGTAGTGTGGTAAATACTGGCATAATATATACATAACCTGTGCGTTACGTCTCAACTTCAGATCAAAGGCCTGAAGCCACATAAGCTAAGGTGGAGCCTGGGTAAAGCCACTCCCCTGGTTGGCAGAATGCAGTACAAACGAATGGAAGAAAAGCATAAAAAGCAAATGTGCAGTTCTTCTTACATTTATGCTTCAAGTTAGAGCTGCTACTTCT